GCAGATTTTTCAGGGCTGTACAGTTTCCTTTTCTGAGTGCATGCCATGCTCTGTATGTTTGCTTGGCCGTCCATCGCGTGCCCATCGCCTCATCGTCTGTCTGTCTGCCGCGCACTTTTTGCTTACTTTTTCATATTTTTTTGGTTCAACATTTGCTTTGTATTTCCCGTCCACAATTGGGCTGTCATTTTGTTGAAAGAAAGAGGGAAGGGGCCTTCTATTTGACAGTACCTCCACAGTCCAATTGAGCTGCTTGCACACGTACTCTGCTGTAGCATTTTTCGCCAGATTTTTCTTGTTTTTTTCCTTTTTCAGCCATCTCATTTTCTTTGTCGCCCAGCGCAAATCTGTCTTCTTTTTCTTCTGCAATCTAAATGTCGGCTTTGGCGGTGGGATTAGCATCAGCAGCACTGGAATGAAAAAGAAGATGATGAACTGGCGCATCGAGAACTCCGCTTTCTCCATTACAGCCAGTGAAGACAGAGACAGACAGACAGTGACACTCATTAAGAGGAGAGGAAAGGGGAGAGAGAGGGTAATCCACCACCGCCAGTACCGGAGGAGCCAATCAATTATTTATTCTCCTTCTTTAGTGATGCCAAGTGCACTGCACTAGTGCACTGCACTGTTCTACAAGGGCACACAATTAATTACGTGCTCTATCTAACTTTACTGTCTGTATTTGTGTTTGTGTGTTCGTCAGCCATGTCGGCCTTAATTAGTTTCTTACATCACTCGAGGTGATGGTGGTGGTGGTGGTGGTGGTCGGGTTCTGTCTGCTGGGCGATTCTGCTGGGCGGCAGATGCAGCAGAAGCTGCGGCCGAATTGCAGCACTGTTTGTCTCTGCACTTTGTTCGCTTCAACTACTACTTCTTTCTCTCCTGCAGGTAGTGTTCACTGTGAGGAATGTGCGACCGCTGCACATTTTCTCGTTGCTGAGGAGCAGTGCTCTTGTTCCAGCTCGCTCTTTTCCACTCTGGCCACTCTAATTGAGTCACTTGCCAGTGGGTGCACTTGCTGTGCTGTTCTGTGTGTGTGTGTGTGTTTGCTCAAAGTATCACCGCAGTGTGTTGTAGATGCAGCAGCAGCAGCGCAGTTTGCCACCGGCCACTTGGTTGACTGGCCCCCAATGCCCGATGCAATTGGTCACATTGACAGGATTTGCTGGTGCAGTCCAATTCACTGCCACCACTACGAATGTTTTAAAACATTCTGTTTCTTCCACTCGGATTAGCACTTTTCAGTTGTGGTGATGGTGGTGGAAGCTAGGGCAAGGCAAGTTAAGTGCACACATGTCTACCAGAAAACTATGTGTACTTGAGCTTGATTTGCAATTTAATTGCGAGTGTTTTTTTCTGCTAAAGTGTTTGCCCAGGCTGGTTGTCGTCGTTGTGGTGGTGATGGCTGTACTGCTCGACGACCTTTACTTGCCAACATCTTCGATTACGAGGAAAGGCAGCAGCAGCAATATTGCCTTCAATTATATATATTAGCACTTTTTTGAAGGTGCCACCGCTGCTTACCTCGGTTTCAGGTGAACTGCTGCTGCTGGGGCTGGTGAAGGACAGCTGCCAAGAATGCTTTTGTACAGAGAGTTGAACACAGGGCAGTTGTTGTGTATCGGCATCGGTAACATCTGCACATCAGCGGCTTGTTCAGCAGAATAGGCATCAGCAGCAGCAGCAGCAATAAGTGCACCATCATTTACATCTGCTTCAGTTCTCGGCAATTTGTTATTTGCTCTTTTGGGATGGTTGGATGGATAGATGGATGGCCATCTGCTTGAATACGTGAATGTCAGCATGTGTGTACCCGTCTGTGCTTGTGTCTTTTCTGGCCTCCCCTCTCTTCTCCTCTTGAAGGCCACTGAGGGCATCTCGATTAATTGCTCTGGCAGTGTCTGCTTTCGGTGATGTTCCGGTGCACATTCCCAAACACTAACCACTGCCCTTGCCCTTGGACAACAGTGGAAAACGCTCCAAACTACTGGAAATGGAGATAACAAGGAAATAAAGTTTGCATAGAGATGTTCTTTTTCTTGCCTTGCTTTCCTTTCCTCCCATCTGACCTACGGTAATCAATAAATTGATTTGCTTATTCTCCCTCCCTCTCTCTCTGCTTTACATGCTTTACATTGAGAACTGTGTCGTTCTCTTTGTGCTAATAGCCCATGTTTGCATTTGTGTCGCCAAACGTTTGCTTGCACATTTACACACGTACAATGCTTACACTTACATTTTCTTGCTTACATTTACGACCCAAGAGAGGGAAAAGCGTTCACACAAGCTGGCAGCTTGGTTCATTCATTCGGGCATTCAGTTGAAAAGAAAAACAGCGAGGACAGTGCACTTTTTTCTGCCTTTTTTCTTTGACTGACTCACAGGCGAAAACACTGTTTGTCTTTGCCAATTACTATTAATACCGAGCTCTCCTTGCTCCACTGCAGCTCAATCACAGACACACACACACACAAAACACGATTTTAAAGTAGGTTTTTTCTCTCTTTCTGCTGATGATCATGTTTGCAGAGTGTCCTTTGATTGCACTTTGATTAACACAGACAGTGTCGCACTGTCGCCGCCACTTCGACACTTGGCATTTGTGCTGNAAACACGATTTTAAAGTAGGTTTTGTCTCTCTTTCTGCTGATGATCATGTTTGCAAAGTGTCCTTTGATTGCACTTTGATTAACACAGACAGTGCTCAGACAGTGTCGCACTGTCGCCGCCACTTCGACACTTGGCATTTGTGCAGCAGGAGGAAATGAAATGCAATGCAGTGAAGCACTATTTGACCTACACAGTTTGGGGATTCGATTAGAGCGGGGCCGACTTTTTCAACTCTTTTCTGCTGTGATTGCAACTCTTTTGTGTCTGCCTGCTTTTGTGCAGTCGATATTTAAATTAGATTTAAATCGATTGGCTGTGTCCTCTTCCTTTCACTTTTTTCTTCTTCTTTTACTGAAGATTGAAAATGGTGTTTTGCAGTCAGCGTTGAATAAAGAGGTGCTCACTGTGTTCTCCCACTTTTCCACTTTCAAGGCTTCACAAAGGAAAGCAAAGGAAAGGTCGGCCACGTCCATTTTCTGTCAGTGCCCACACTTTGCCCACTGTTTCAGTAATTGTCAGTAGAATCCTCTCTCTCTCTCTCTCTCGCTGTGTGTTTGTTCAACCGCTGCCTAGGCCAATGCCACTGTGTGTCTTCGAGGTGCCAACACGTCGGCAAAAAGTAGCGTCATAGCACTTTCAGGTTTCTTTCTTTTTTCTGTGAGCCCACTTTGGGCATCTTTTCTCCTCTTTCTCCCTTTCTTTTTGTGGAAAAATTCCCCCAGACAAACTTTAAACACNCACTGTGTGTCTTCGAGGTGCCAACACGTCGGCAAAAAGTAGCGTCATAGCACTTTCAGGTTTCTTTCTTTTCTCTGTGAGCCCACTTTGGGCATCTTTTCTCCTTTTTCTCCCTTTCTTTTTGTGGAAAAATTCCCCCAGACAAACTTTAAACACCGTTGTCTGCCTTCATCTTCTCTTTCTTTCTTTTTCATTCTTTGCAACCGCTGCGACTGTTTGTTCTGCTTTCTTGTCTGTGACTTTTTGTCTGTCTGTGTTTGCTCCCGCTTAATTGCCTGTCCCCTGTGAGCACTTTACCTTCTCCTTCTCTCTTTCCTCAAACACTCTGCCTAAAAACTGCATATTGCTTACATTTTCCATTTTTCCATTTTTTATTTTGTATTCCCTTTTCTAATTACTCTTCTAACCATCATTAAACATTCTTTCCTCTTTAGTGCCCACCTTTCAGATTCTCCCCTACACGGACGACTCGTCAATGTCCCGCTGCACCGCCCAGTCGCTGGTGGAGATGAAGAAGTTCGACCCGAAGGACATGGCAAAACGCTTCACCCTCGAGTACAACAAGGAGCCTAATCGAGGTTACGGCGGTCACGTGGTGAACGTCTTTGCGGGGCTGATGCTCGCCAACTACGAGCACCCGTACGAACCGGCGAATCGGCAGTTTGGAGGGCTGGGCTCCTACGGTACGTTGCACATTTTGGTCAAAACTTTGAGTTCTACTCGAACTTTTTTTTTCAACAGGAAACGGCGGAGCGATGCGCACCGGCCCCGTCGCCCTCTACGGCTACAACATGAAGGAGACGGAGCTGGTGGAGCTTACGCGGGACTGCGCCCGCATCACGCACGCCAACTGGCTCGGCTACAACGGCGCCATCCTCCAGTGCCTGGCCGTCCACCAGGCGCTGCACATTGCCACCCACTNCACCGGCCCCGTCGCCCTCTACGGCTACAACATGAAGGAGACGGAGCTGGTGGAGCTTACGCGGGACTGCGCCCGCATCACGCACGCCAACTGGCTCGGCTACAACGGCGCCATCCTCCAGTGCCTGGCCGTCCACCAGGCGCTGCACATTGCCACCCACTGCCACAGCAGCCCGAATAGCAGTAAAAACAACTCGAGACCGCCGAGCAGCAATTCAAACTCTTCAGGTGGACAGCAACTGCACCCCAACTCACGACCTCGGGGCAGCCTGAGCGCCGCCCCGCTCGACTACGTCGCCTTCCTCAACGGCCTCATCGAGAAGATGGCCCGCATCGAGGCGGCCTCGGAGAAGCCGGCGGAGCTGGCCGGAGACCCTGCCGCCGCCACGCCCTTCACCGACCGCCTCCGCAAGGTGAAGGAGATTCTGGTAAATGAGGTGGCGAGGGGCGTGGTCTACCCGGTGGAGAAGATTGTGGCGGCGCTGGGGAACGACGTCTCGGCGCTGAAGTCAGTGCCCACGGCCATCTACGCGGCCTTGAGGGGCACTCAGCCGCTGCTTCCCATGATGATGACGCCCACGGCTGAACACCAAAGCGGAGGAGGCGGAGGGGGATCCTTTGAGAGCAGCTCGCCCTTTCTTCGGACCCTGTACACGGCCATTTCGCTGGGCGGCGACACGGACACGATCGCCTCGATGGCCTGCTCCATCAGCGGCGCCCTGTACGGCCTGGAGGCCATTCCGCGCATTCTGGTGCGACACTGCGAGGGCAATGAGCTGATGACGACGCTCGCCGATGACCTGTATCGCATCGTCCGGGCCAGTCTCGTAGTGCAGAGTTCGGCCGCCTGAAGGGAGATGCTCTTTCTCTTTCGTTCGTTTCGTTTCGTTATCCCCCACCTTCTAAAGCTTTTCTCAAACTCTTCCTCGATAGAACTCTCTTCAAGAACACCTCACAAAACAGCTACGACAGAGAAAGTGCAGGCCTACACAAACACACACATTTTATTTTCTAATCTGTTGATCATTGCTTTTATTCTTATTTTCCTAACACTCTCTCTCTCTCTCTCTCTTTCTCTCATAGGCTCATCTTCAGGCTAGGCCCACTGAGATACTGAAACACTATCACTACCACCGCTACACACATACGCAAACAGATAACTTCTTCAAGCCTCCATTTTGGTTGTTGACTACACACACACACACACTTTTGGTGGCTCACAAACAAACAGACAAAACCACACCGAGATAAACACATCTTATCATTTCTTTCTACTAATTTTGTCCCCTTCAATTGATTCGCTCCCCACAATGTTCTCTCTTTCACCGCTGTACAGGTTTTGATTATTTACAATTTTATATAATTCCATATGTTTCCGTTAAGCAAATTGATTAAAATGATTCCCACTTACTGAACTTCCGCATTTGGAACCTCCTTTGTGAAAAGGAGAAAGTTAAGCGAGGCGTGTGAGGTTGAAACGGGCAACTGGAAACGTGCAAAATAGAAACAGCAAAAACTGCGAGCACGTGCAACCAGGGCGGCCAAAAGACAGAACCGGTAACAGCAAAACTTCGAAATCATCTGATCATCTTTAAACTTCGAAGCAGCTACCCATCTTTCAGACATGTCAAGCGGTGATAGCAGCATTGAAAAACAGACGCTGAAAAAACTGGTGCGCCTTGAAAAAGCCATTGAAGGTTTGCTGTCGGAAGGTGTTCCCAACGATTACTTGGAAGGACTGATTGAGGAGTTTGAACAAATCGTCGATGGCTTTGAAAAAGACGATGATGACGTAGAAAAAGGGTACACTGACAAGGCAGTGCAGTTCATGACTCGCTTTGGCAAACTGCAGAAGAGTCGAGAAAACAGTCAGTCACTCTTTCCTAAAAAAGTGAAACAGCACAATGGGCAAGTGATGTCATTTCTCGGCTTCTGGAAACTCTTTGAACTCAATGTGATGTCACAGCCTATCGACGAAGCAACCAAGCTAGGCCTGCTGTTGAACGCTGTCCATGACTCGGACACCACTGCCATAGCAGCTTGCTCAACCATCGAAGAGGCAAGAATGTACTTGGAAAGAAAATATGTCGCTAAGTCGGTCATCCGCCAGCTGTTCCAGAACAAGATTGGCCCGTTGTCAGTGAAGAATGAGACTGATTCTGATGGCTTGATTCTCATGATGAAGCTCGCTGCTGAATTGAACTTACTTGTTGAGCCGAAAAAAGACAAAATGCTCACATTTGAACTGTTTACCCACCTTATTGATCGACTACCTCTAAGTGTCAGGGATGAATATTTTCTATCTTGTATAAACTTGGACAAAGACATTCAAAAAGATATGAATGTCTTTGTCGAGTTTCTTGAGAAGAAAATTGACCGTCTTCAGGCCCTACAAAAAGTGCCCATTCAAGCTTAACACGTAGAAGAATACACTATCTGAAAATCGATTCTGCAGATTCCAGCAAAAAGTACTTTTAAAAATTCCAGCACCATTCGTAGATAGCGTTATGCTTTGTTGTCAAAATTTTTGTTGTGATGCTGTGTTTTTCGTGAAATAAAATTAATCTGTCAGTGATTCTGCAGTTATTTCTTCTACATATTCCCTCATTTGAAGTGAAAAATAATAAAATGGAAGAAAACAGCGATTCAGTATCGGAGGTTTCAGTGTGCAATCCGCTGGACATGAACAGCACCGACTTCAATGCGGACATTTACATGAACAAGGTATTTTTTTTGATAAAATTCTTCAGCCGGATATCAACTAACTGTTTGATTCTTTTTAGCTCCTTAAAGAGAGCCGTCTTTCTGAACTGATGGACACCGAGCAGATGCTGTTCAAGCAAATTCAGACGCTGGACAGTGAAATGCAGACGCTGATTTATGAAAACTACAACAAGTTCATCAGCGCAACAGATACGGTCAAAAAGGTGTGTTACCTTAAGGAATGTGCTCAAATTCTAATCATTTTTGTTGTTGTCATTCAGATGAGCTCTCACTTTGATAAGATGGAACATGAACTCAACCTGCTCTCCCAGAACATGCAACTAATCACCAACAAGAGCAATGAAATTGCCGTCAATTTGAGCGGAAAACGAGATGAGCTGACTCGCATGTCGAGCACTCACTTTCTGCTGAACAAGATTCAGTTCATTCTCGAGTTACCGGCAAAGATGCAGAGCTTGATTGGGCAGAATAAGCTGATCGAAGCAGTGGATGACTACATTCAGGCGAAGCACGCACTTGATCTGTACTCACATTTCCCCTCCATCAAGAACATTCAAGTGGAGTGCACGGAGATGCTCGATCTGATCAAGTCCCGCTTGTACGATCAGTTGGCAAATGAGGAGGTAAGAATCAAGTGTGCTCCTTTACTTTTTTAACACTTCTTAAATTCCATTTTCAGGCAACCACAGCTGAAACGCATCAAAGCATCGAGTACCTGATCAAGCTAAACGAAAACGCCACCAACCTCTGTGATAAATACTTTGAAATGCAAGTGTTTTTACTGTTTACGTCATCATCATTCAACTAACTGATTTCAATCTTTTTATTACAGGTGCGAAAAGAAGCTCTCCGCTGTGCTGAGCTCAATGCAGCCCAACGTGGACATCGACGAGTCAAACATTCCCTCGATGGTTTGTGCCTGATTTGTTTATAACTGTTTACCAGTCTAACCATCCAATCTCCAGGACATTCTCGAGTTCATCGACAACGTGTGCAATAGCTACCTGGGCAGTCTGAACCAGTGCATCATCTTTTTCACCGAGGTCTTTCTCCAAAACAGCAACAGCAACAAGAATAAGCACAAAAGCAGCAGCAGCAGCAAAGGCAGTGGAGAGCAGGCCGTGGAGGGCAGGCTGAAGCAGTTCGTCGACCAGCGCATGGAGGACCTCTTTGAGATTATACTGCGGCGGATCCGAAGGGAGCGCAAGGCTCCGAGCAGCATCATCATGTTCGTGCGCGCCCTGGACCGCTTCTACAAGCGCGTGCAGAAGCTAAACAAGATCTACGCCTTCACCGACTTCACCGAACGCGGGCTGCAGATCGTCGCCGAGTCGACGGCCGACCAGTGCGCCTTCCTCCTCGCCCAGCTGAAGACCAAGTTCACCGAGGAGCTGGCCACCCTCCGCCATGACATTCTCAACGACATGAGTCGGAAGCCGAACTCCTCGAGCATGGGAAGGAAAGGAAGCTCTTCAGCTGCAGACACTGGTTCCGGTTCTGCCTCGCTGCACGACAGCCAGCCGAACTCGCTCTCCGAGGCGGTGATCGCCTTCGAGACGACCATCGTCGAGCACCTCAAGTCGACGCTCAGCGCGCTGACGCCCTTCATGGACGCCGAGCTGACCTTCCTCAAGCGCGACTTCAAGGAGCACTTTGTAGGGCGGTGCGTCTTTCAGGGGATCGTCCACCAGTACGCCGCCTTCTGCCTGCAGTCGGCGATTGAGTACGAGCAGACGGAGGCGCTGCTGTACAGCAGTGCCCACGTTCCGCCGCAGCTGGTGCTACTGCTCTCGAAGCTCTGCCTCGACCTGGCGAACCACATCGTCGGCTACCTCTTTCAGTTCAGCGAGGAGATGTTTGGGCGGCCCGCTTCGAACAAGGCGCTCATGGGCGGGCTGGTGAAGGAGGCGCGTGAGTACGCCCAGCGACTGCTCAACATCTACGTGTGGATCGAGGGCCAGTCGATCTCGCACATGATTCGCAAGTCCGTCGAGACGAGGGACTGGCTGAGCGGGGTGGAACCGCGGTCGGTGCGCTCGGTGGTGAAGCGGGTCATAGAGGACGTGACGCTGATTGACTTTCAGGTGGGCCAGCTCTATGAGGAGGGCGTGCGGGTGGAGCGCAGCTCGGACTCCAGTCGCACCTTCTCCTCATTCAACTACAGCGGAAGCAAGCACAAGCAGCAGTCGGCGCACAAGGCGCACACCTCAAAGTCCTCCTGGTCGTACAGTGCAAAGTAAGTCGATTGCATTGCATTTAAACTCCCAACTTTTCCTAATCACCTCTTCCCTTTTCAACCAGCTCCTTCGACAACAACATCATCTCCAACATTCACAAGCTTTTCAATGACAAGATTGAGATCTTTGGCAAGGTGGAGTTCTCAAAACTGTCCATCGTCACTGGGGTCATCAAGATTGGCCTGAAGGTATG